ATGATTGATATTGTGTTAGTACCCGTATTCTGAACTATCTAGTAACAAAAAATATTAATTTAAGTACCTTATTTCTAATTTACCAAAGAACAATTAACAGTTTACACAATTTGGAATATATTTTAAACATCATCAGGCGAGGGTTTTGGCCATAGTCCGTCACGCTGACCCAATGCTTCTTGGGGACTTAACACTTCTTTCATTACTACTTGCTTTTCTAGGAATTGCTGTAATATATCCATAAAAATATATAATGCTTTGCCTGCAGCAATTGCAGACTTACCCTTAATAAACATATTTAAAAAGAAATTATAATAATATAAATAAATATAAATTATACTTGTTATGTGATCTGTGTATATGTCGTGGCCATATCGTAGATTTGCTCATTTCATGAAATGCTTTAGTATTTCATGAAATGGTCGCATTTCATGAAATGTTTGACTGTCTATTGGCCACATCATGATATGGTTTGGGCAGATCAATGATAAAAATCGTTTCTCGATGTGGTCAACTAAAAGCGCGACTATTTCATAAAGTATTCAAGATTATTTTGATCATATCGTAAAATAGTTACATGAATTACCGGTAGAGGCGCTGTAAGCGCTTTGTTTATGTGTGAAGATGGCGGCCGCGGACGATAATGTTGTTTCTCGCAGAGAAAAAAATAATAATTCGTTGTTAAGTGAAGAAGAAAGTGACGACAAAAGATTATACGACGAAAAGGTTCTGGAGTACTATGCAAGTCACGCAAAAACTGAGCAAAATGTAAAAAACCTTGGACTTCGGTTCGGATTTTACAGGTTAGTAGTTTACTGTTAAATTACTTCATTATTCATTTATTTTATTAAATTACTCTATCCTAGCTAACGTATATTGTATTTCCATTTAATTGATGTTATTCTAAGTTTGTTAATTATGACATTATAAAGATTGTTTTGTTTTTCTTTTTAGGTTATAAACCAAATTAAGGAGAGTAGGGTGACTACGCAAAAGAAGTCCATGGATTATTACTGGCTGTCAAAATACGACATTATGGAAACAGCGGACGAGGAATACCTTATATTCAAGAAAAAATGCGTAGACGATCCTACTATTCGAATAATTCCAGTGGAGAAGTATTTTTGAAATATTAAAGGAAGTTCATAAAACTGTTGGACATGGTGGACGACTAAAAATGATTCAACACATTAAAAATAGGCTTTATATTCCAAAGAAACCTATTGAGCTATTTGTTGACCTGTGCTCTGTTTGTGAGAAGAAACGTGCAGTACCAAGGAAAGGTATAGTAACTCAGCCGATAGTGTCCAAGGATTTTAACACACGAGGACAGGTGGATTTGATCGATTTACAGTCTGCCCCGGATGGAGAATTTAAATGGCTGATGAATTATCAAGATCATGCAACAAAATTTTTACACCTCAGACCACTAAAATCGAAGAAAGCTGCAGAAGTAGCCATGGAACTTTTAAAAATATTCTTGGAATTTGGCGCCCCCTTCATATTACAAAGTGATAATGGAAGAGAGTTCACCGCGCATGTTATAGAACTGGTGTCAATGTGGCCCGAATGCAAAATTATTTACGGTAGTCCTCGACGTCCTCAAACACAAGATCCAATCAAGATGTAGAAAATATGTTGCGGTGTTGGATGCAAGACAATAAGTCTACTAATTGGTCCATTGGTTGTTTTTTTGTTCAATTTTATAAAAACTCTTCATATCACCGCATAATTGGCAGATCCCCTTACCGTGCATTGTTTGGTTCTGAGCCGAAAACATATTGAAAGGTTGTAATATTCCTGAAAGTATTATGACATCAATCAGGACGGAAGAAGAATTGAACCAAATAAATCAGAATGAGAAGAAGAATGACGAATTGAACCTAATCAATCAGAAGGAGAAAAAGGAGGAAGAAATGCACCAAATAAACCAGAATGATATTACACCGGAGAACAAAGAGATAGTTAATGTTATGCCGTCATCGTCAAATGTCGTAATAGTTAATAAATCAGTTGCTGATGAGGGTTTGTCTAACATTGAACTAATTGAAATAGATAATAATATGATATTAGAGGTAGATGATGGTTCAGTGTGTCTCGTCTGTGGCAATGTCACATCCGGAGCTCATTTCTGTAGTTTATGTTCCAAACCTGTGCATGCTATTTGTGGCGTTGCTTGTGGAGAAGAAGGTTATGGATCTCAAGTTCAATGTTTTCTTTGCCAAAAGGAACAGTTGATTGTTAATGAAAGAGATCAAGCTCATCACGGTGTTAAACGTGCTGCAGAGAAAATGGTCGATAACACCGCCAAGAAACTTCCTCTGTTAGAAATTGGAAATTCCGTGTTTTTGAATGTACCAAAAATTGACCGTGGACCTCTTGACACCAAAAATATTGCTGGAAAAGTAGTTGATTTTAGGAACGGAGTATACAAAATCGGAACAGGCTCTGGAACAATTAAAAATTGGTTTTCCCGGCAGGATCTGCTAGCGTCATCGAAAGATTATTGCGAAGTTATATCCGAATTGCCAATATCGTTGTGGGAAGCTGTAAATTTCCAATCTGCATTTGGAGGTCAAGGCTTTAAAAAATGCTTTTGCAAGCCAGCAAAAAATCAGTGCTGTACGAAGAGATGCCCATGTTTCAAGAACAAAACACTTTGTACTTCAAAGTGTCACCAAAGTTTGTCATGCGCGAACAAATGACTGAAAGGGTGTAAGACTGACTTTTTAATTTTAATTCATATAAAATAATAATTTTTAATTTTAATTCCATGTGATTTTTATATTACTTGTTGTAACTATTAACTAAAGTACGTACCTACTTATTTCTAAGTATTTGATTCTATTCTAAAAATAAATGTGTAACTTGACATGTGTCATACCTATTTAACAAAATTTGTTTAATATTGTTACATAAATTTGTTTAATTTTGTTACGAAAATTTCATAAGTTTGTGATTCATAGGGTTCATAAGGTGATCAAGTGATCATAAGGTTGTATAATTGGACTTAAATTACAATAAATAAGTTCTTACCATATTCTGGATTTTTATCAAATATTTTATGGACACCCTATTTATACGATTCGGCCAAACGTGGATGACAAAATCGTGAAACGTAGACGATTTTATGATCTGGTCAAATTGAGTTGCCCACATCATGAAATGCGACCATTTCATGAAATACTAAAGCATTTCATGAAATGAGCAAATCTACGATATGGCCACGACATATATATGATATCAAAGATTATTTAAAATGAAAAGTAAAGTAAAATGAATTTGTTAATAATTTATCTAATGTAATTAAATCACTTGCTTTTAAATCACAATTGACAAAATTCAAAGACAAAACAATTTAGTAATTACAAATACCAATCGTTATTCATTCGAAATGCAAATTGATTTGTAATTGTAGAGACAAATGTGAAATACCATTAAGATTTGCACACCTGCGTGCAGGTTGAATACAGTGTATCTAATTTTACTCAAGATCTGTATAAATACTGTATTCTGGCAAATAAAAGTATTCTATTCTGTTCTACGATGTTTGCCTTCACCGAAAAGCTCATGGTAAATTTCAAATTCAATTTTGTACATCCGAGAAACTCAAAGGTGCAAGCCCGGATTCGCAGCTATGACCTCTGCTTGAGGTCAAACCATTGGGCTACCACGGCTTTTAATAATAAGAATTTCTTTACGAGGAAATGTTTGTTACAATTCTTTCGTATTGGGTTTTTTTTCGGTTTTTTACCACCGTGTTATGGTAGTAAAATTATGATATTCAATAAAGATCGATAATATAAGTATTTGATCACGTGAAAGACCATGAGTCATTGAATTGTAATAGAATTCCTTATTTACCACCCGTGCTATATGCAATGTTTTTTATCACATTTGCGAGGAAATAAATATAATGATAATTTATTTCTTCTACGAATAAATATCGCTTCACAACACAACAATTACAGATTTTGCAAATATGTTTTTGTTTTTTTTCTTATAAAAACAGTTGACCAACTATTCTTCCATAGATAATACAACTCGAACTAAAACGTAAAAGGCAAAAACGCATACAGCCATGATGGTAAAAGATATAAAATAAATTAGTTCAAAATACTGAAAATACAAATACAAAATACAAATACAAATATCCTTTATTGCACAATGACACTTTTTGACATAAATAACATGTTAAGCCAAAACATAAACAACCAATAAACGGTACGTCAAACATGTCAGAGGGCAAAAGGAGGTGTCTCAGTTTGTGTGCCTAAAACCGAAAAGGCTGCAGAATTTATAAAATTAATTTAGCAAAGGTTTAGTTTTTTTGTATACTTCAAGCTTGTGTGAAATAACCCTAATTTTTCGAGCATTAAAAGTACAGTGCAATTAATTTAAAAAAAATATTACTGTAATGAAAAAAGAAAATGGTAATGGAAAAGCCCGCCGCACATTACAGCCTGCTTTGCCTGCATTTATGGAGTACCATAAACAGTAGACAGTAAACAGTAGTTTATGAGCAAGTGTGACGAAAACAAATTTAATCTCCTAGGACCCAGCAAACTATTACTATACTGACATAAAATGTATTAATATAATTAGGTACATGTTTCAGGCCCTCAGTTTTATATGAAAAACGTATTTTTCTAGATATACAATGTAATAATGCTTAATTTGAATGCGATATTTTCATTATAACGATATGGGCGTTTATTTACATATGAATAATATTGTCAGGGTCTAAACTTCACACTTCACACTAGGTACATTTTGATGTACACGAAGCCCTGGTGAGTAATGTAGTATATAAGCTTAATAATTCCCCAAATTCCCCAATACTAGGTACGCACTGAAATAGAAAAATAACTTATATTTTATTGACATTGCTTCCACGCATTTTGATTCACAAGAAGAATAGAAAACGTACAAATCTCTCCACGAAAAAGGGATCCGGATAACACGAGCAACTAAGGAACTATTTCTTTTTTCCTTCGCAGGTGGCTAATAAAATTTTCTGGCTTCGAAATGGAGCCGCGCGACCGCTCTTGCTTGCCGAATTCTTTCCCCAAGGACATTCCTGGAACATGTTATTTTCTACACAAGTACACGCATCCCGGAACGGACCAGAATGCTACCCAGGTGAGTTATTGCTTTCAGATATCGTAATATGAACGTAGAAGTCTGCAAAGGCGAATTTGTAGTTAATTCCTTTTTGCTTACGATACGAATAGCGAATGTCGACATTAGCGCCGTGATTTCAGGGTCTAAAATCTTATAGTAACATAACTAAAGAACCCTGCTTTAATATTCATTAATAGCAGGGTTCTTTACAATTTCTACGACTTATTTGATCAATTAGCCTGCACACTAACAGACTACACAATGAGTATAGTGCAACAGTAGATATTTTCTCGGACTCGATAACCGGTCTCCACCAGGCAATCCTTAGCTAGTGAACTAGCAGTTAGCATTAATTGCAAAAATTTATATTACATTTAGGATGTATATTTTTATTCCGATTATCATATTTTTTCGTTATATTCAGTTTGTTTTGTGTTTGTTTATTTGTATATATAACACTGTAGTTTTAAGACTATTCTGCTCAATTTAATGCAAGCTGTGTTTCGTCTGTAAATAGTTGCGCTTCTAACGAAACACCCTTACCAATGTAAAATGGACGTGTATCGATGTAACAATTGCTGATGAACCTCAATAAATCAAAGTCAAAGTGAAAGTAAAATAATCATTTACTCCATAGATAAAATGTTTACACTTGAAAACGTCATTTTTTAAGCTACTGATCGTTCACTACGCTAACCTCCCTGAGAAGAACGAGCTAGAAACTCTAGGGATTGCTCTTTTCAAATAAACTTAAATGCTTTGGAATATACTTTGAATCATAATTGTGTGGAATCTAGACTCCTGTTGTCTTTCCATGCTTCTTTATCTAAAACATACTCTTCAATTTTGTAATATGACTTTTCAATTAGAATACTTTTAATGTAAGTTTTAAACTTAGGAAATGATAATCTTAATATACTCTCCGGAATCTTATCGTGAAAACGTACCTATACCGTTTCCCATAAAAGAATCGTTTATCTTAGTTAAACAAAATCGTGGTACCATGAGTTAGGACTTAGTTCTAAGATTAATATTATAAGTATCTTCTTTTTTAATGAAATTATGTATATTTTTACGGGCATACAAAATATTTGAGTAAATGTACTGTGATGCCTGAAGTGAAGATACCAATGAAGTCATAATCAGTCTTCTTAAACTTTTCTCAGAGAGAAACCCGAGAATCTAAACGGTACACAGAACGAATCGCTCGTTTTTGCAATACAAATATGGTTTGTATATCTGCCGCTTTACCCCACACGAGAATCCCGTAGGACTAAATAAAAATACGTACGAATAAATAAAAATAAAATAAATAGTTGTCATGGTGTCGCTATCTCCGAGGTCCCCGTCTGAGTCAATGTAGAAAACTTAATTTTCTATGTTGTGTCGGATCTGGGCATTTGTGGTATTTTCATAACAAAAGTTCCTTAGTTACGTACTTTGGGGTTAGAGTGACGTATGTGATGGAAACGGAGTATCTCAGTATAAGTTCCATTTTAAATTCGATACAAACAATCCACCTCTAAGGATGGCAAATTAAGAAACGAATCCGGTTTATATTTCTCCCACTTTCCGATAACCGATTTCAATAAAACTCGGAAAATAGATGTAACGATCACGGCGATAGCAAACTTTTGACGTCCATTTTTTATAAATATCATATCAATGTATCAATAATATCAAAATAATTTATCATGATTATGAATAGTTATTATCACTACCAGAGATGTGTAGTGGGTTAAAACTCAGTGAACTTGCTCGTATTTTAACCGGATTTTTACCCAAAGCGCAAACGGGTTTTAGCACATTTCTGACCATAATCGTGGGTGAAAACGGCGAATACTGAATTTGATTTAATTGCATACTTATTACAAATTTCGGTATAAAAAATCTTTTCACCTCACTAGCTCGGAAAGGCTTTCTTTAGATTAGAAGGTTTAGTTAGGTTTAGTTTTAGTCTTTCTCATTAGGTTTTTGAAATTCGAACGATGGACTGTGGTGCACCTAACTTTTTCTTTCGATGAAAAAAAAACTTAATGACACGTTCTACTACGCGAGTTATCCTACATAATTTTATGTAATATAAATTCGTTGATATATTTTATTCTTATTATTGTCGACATTAAACTGACAACGATAACTAATTTTGTTTATTAAAACTGATTTGTTATAGTTAAACTGTATTTCTTTCATCTACAATTTTACTCGCTATAGTGAGGTGAAAGGTTGTGTGTGCCGCTCGGCAGCAAGTTGTTTTGCGTCTCGTGGCTTGAAACCCTCGCTACCCTCAGCATTCCCGTCAAACAACAACTTTGCAGTATTGCATAACAAATAACTGTAATAGACGAAAAAGAGGCAGCTCCATACAAAACAAACGATGTACGATGTTTAATGCGATTTTCAAGTGAATCGATTCAATTGAAAGGCAAATCGAATCAGAACGCAATAAACATTTTGTAATAATATCATTAAATTCCAACAAAACTCGATTTACAACAAATATTTTAGGTTTTAATCCGATTTAAGCCCGGCAGCATTAACAAAATCCATCTCTGATCACCATGGATCCTGTGGACTATTTTTGTTATAACCACCAACACCACATCTTTCCATTTAATGTCCATGACGTCGTGTGACTTGTCGACTAACATAAACATTAATTGCGAACATGTTGATTAACACGGCTAACGTATTCACCTATAAATGGGGCCATTAAGTAACGAGAACCAGAATTAAGGGTTACGGTATTGTCCATCTAATGAATATTCAGTACTTGCCTGGAAGCTCGGACAAACAGGTCATTACGCTGTTCCTCAAAGCGTTTGTAATGCAGAGAGATGCTGTCCTTTCTTGTTCATCACACATATACCTAATCTATCACAAACTCGAATTTCTTTTTTCCGAATTTCGTTACTTGGAAAACGGTTTAACTTTTTTCATTAGTGCGATGACAGTTTTGGTACAAGTTTGCAACACAGAAATGTCTTACAGCAGAAGTATCGTTTGTCCGAAAACCTATTGTTAGAATAATTATTACACATACGTTATTCTTTGGGCAGAAGTTTGTTTGGTCTAATCATGTTTGTTATACTGTCTGTGTTTCATATAATTTAGATTGCTGAAAATTCGTTTCGACAAAATTGTTATTCTATTACTATTTTACCGTACAGCTCCAAAATTCTGGACTATACTTTGCTGGTGTAATGCAAGATCCACTTACGTAATTTTCATCATACCAGTATGCTATGATCTTGCTGTCGTCTGAAATTTAAAAGCAATGGTCTTGAGTATTCGATAAATAACGTATAACTGTATCGATGTCAGTACCAGAATCGAATTTTTTTTTCATTCCTACCTGAGTCGACCCCCTCCTGTGGGTTTAGGTTAGGTTAGTATATGAACAGGCGACACGATATAAACGAGCGAAACTAGCGAAACGAACGACTACAACTCGATCAAATTAACTTGCATCTCGTTTACCATATTTCCTAAAGACGCGAGCTGCTGTAATTTGACGAGTTGTATTGTGCGACACGTTCCAATACATTTAATGCCTGTAATAAGAAATAATATAACAAAAATGTATTATGGATATCGTTTTTTTACAAAATAAAAATTTTCAATTAAATACGTTTGTCAAACGGTTTGTTGGGGAAATAAAAATCTGAAAACGAATACTTTGTCTATATGTCAAAATAGTGAAACATGAAATGGTGTAATGAAAAACACCGTAACGTGTTTTCGGACAAATGAAACAAAATCTATTCAATAAAAGTCCAAAGGTTTTCGAAGAAACAAAATTCTGTAAATCATGTTTCTAACTTATGATAGGCAACCTACATATACGTATACAAAGTGAATTTACTGTACTGAAAAGCTATTAGTCAACAAATCGTGATGATTGCATTATATACTCTCACATACTTGAGTTCTTTTTCATTTTTTCCCTTTAAAGATAATTCAAGTAAGAATTTCATTTTTACTTTTACTTTTACTTTTGTAAACCTTGTAACCTTCATTAATGCGAACTGTTGATTGGGCACATAGAAATAATTATGCAATAATCTATGACGAAACCTTTATTTTATAACTAAAAAAGGTCTAGAAATTATATTTTAACCTTTCATTGCCCGATGTTACGCTTGAAGGGTAAAAAATGTCGTCCAAAATCAGAGTTATGAAGTTTTTAAATTTAACTGACCCGCTGTTTATGTGAGAATCTAGCTTACGTGAAGTCGACAGTTATGGCTCGATATAGGTAGATATTGCATTCAAAGACTTTTAAAAAATTATTTGCCTCATTTGGAAATCGAACCAACCAAATGTGGAAAAAAATCCCGTATTTTATGATGCCGATCGAAAGGGTCTATTATAAGGATTAATTTCTATCTTAATTTAAAGGAACTTAAATTAATTATGAATATAAATGAAAGATGATGGAGATCATAATTAGATGTACAATAATCTAATTATGAGTTAACAGAGCTTGCAAAAACAACTTTAACTTCATCTAAAACAAACGAAATATGAAACAAAAAAATAAAAACAAAAGAACAAGATTCTGTGGAAGTAGCAAACTAAAACGAGAAAAAACAGGCCTAGATACGCTTTCAAACTTTCCTTCAACGTCAGCTTACATATAAACTCTGAAACTAGAGTAAGCAGTCACCAAACTACTATGGTATACTGATCAAATACAGAGAACAACCCGCTTGGCGCTAAAGTTAGTATAATGTAAATGTAAGTGTACTTACTTGTTCTCAACCTAAATTGTTAAATCGTTTTCAAAACTCACGTTAGTTAAAATACAATCGCAACAGTTCTTTTATAATACCAAGTGACAGGACGAACAAGTCGTGGGCCTGGTGGTAGCGATACGCCTATTCTCAACAATTACAGTGCCACTCAGAGCTTTAAACCGCAAAGATCGAAGGGGCACTGCCACTACACCCGTCCCCTTGAGACATAAGTTGCTAAGTCCCATATGCTTGTCATTGTATTTCAAAAAAACAAAAATACTGTAAAAATAGTTTAATATTTTTTATGTTGAGTACGAATGAAGGAAGCCTGTAATTATTAAGTAAAACATTTATAAAAATGTACTAAAATAAGACACCATGGTGTTGAATATTTTTCTTATTCGTTGAATTGTTTTGATACGTATTTTGTTTTATTTATATGTATTACTTTTTCACATAGATTTTGATAAAAAATAGTAGGTTAGGCTACTCGAAGTACTTAAGTCACGCAGATGAAATCGCGGGTACCAGCTAGTTATTAAAATAATACGTCCTGAAAATTCCAACATGGCGGATGCTGTCATGTTTTGTTTTTCCTTTTAATTAGCGGATGCTGTCGTGTTTTGTTTTTTCTTTTAATTAGCGGATGCTGGCGTGTTTTGTTTTTCTTTTAATTAATTATGTATTTTTTTCGCAGGTACAACACATACAGGATGCCTTGAAATACTATGGTATCGGACAAACGAAACCAATTGAAGGCGATGAAGAACCCACTTAGTCAACGTAAACTGTTTAGCGAGTGTAATTTTGTGTTCGTGTTCGCTTCGTAAAATCATTAAGGTTGATCAAAAAACTTTCTTCATCAAAGAGAAGTCAAATAAAAAGAAGTTAATTTTAACACAGTTCTTCCAGCGTTTAATTTGGCTGGTAAATTTATTTTGCAACTTTATATAATTGTTCCTTTTTACATTTACAAGATGTAAGAAAAGATACCGTTACTAGAAAATAGTTTTTTCCTTTAATGCGGAGAAAGAAAAATTAAATAAAAAAAGCTGTATTCGATATATACCGTCTCGATTATATTTGCAATAGGGGTTTTTATGCACATTCAAGTACAGTATAGATAAGAAGTTGTACAGACGTTGCTGCCACTTATGGTAAAAGCAACGATTAGGTTCAGTATCTGGATTCTTCTGTGTTGGATTGATGAAAACTTTTGAACCTTGCAATTAAGCTTGTTAATATTTTTGTTCATAACTTCCTCTTTTTTTTAAATCAGCTGGGTTAAGAAAGAAGCACTAACGAGGGTGATGGAAACCAGAACCCTCTAGAAAGCAGTTAAACAAGTTTGAAAGGCCATCTAATATAACTTGAATTGCTTGACAATATGATTGGATATTAATTGGAAAGAAAATAGTAGGGTCCACATTTTGCAACGATGTTAAAGAACAGTAGCTTTAAAATGTAAAGGCCGACAGTCGCAGTAGCAGTGCTTTAGCGATGAAGGCGCCGGGGTATATTGAATAAAAGCAACCGGCAACAACACGTGAATATTCTATTGTCATACTAACTGCAGTTGCGGAAACTGGCAACAGTGTCCGATTGCCGCAACCGGCGAATGTGTCATCAATTGATGGATACAAACACGAGACAGTTCTGAGCGGCACTGTAACTGTTATGGACAGGCGTGTCGCTTACCACCAGGCGTACGACTTGTTCATCCCGTCACTAGGTATCATGGAAAAGAGACTAAAGTTCGTCATAAAGATAATAAAGAAAACCAAAGTGAACAATAAATCAAAAATGTAGTTGTCGTTAATAAACGTACATGATTTATAGACAATGGGGTCACTGTTTATGTAAGCAGCTCTGCGGAAGGGAAGCAAACAAGTACGTCATAAGTGTAAGAGGAATAAATACTAACTTTGGCATTCAACCATTGTTCTTATTTCACATTTGAACTTCGAGAATATATGGATTATATTTTGTATTTTCTAAATCCCAGAAGAATTTAACATTTTCTTTCTTTCTTCATAATTACAGTGGACAGGTTTTTTGACGCGAACACAAGGACATTGGTCAAACATGCTAAGATTTTTTGGGTTATCTGGGTGTGACTGAATTTTGTGTGATGTATTATTTAATTTTTCTCAAAGGAGGGGTCTCAAACAAAAAGGTGGTGGTTGATAAAGATAAATGTAAGCAAAATACATCGCATCGATCCCAAAGGATACGGTCAGAAGGATGTTCAAAGTTAGTAAACAAATCGTACTTGTTTATGACATCAGACGACGAGATGAATAAATCGCAATGCTCTGAGGAACACTACCACTACACCCGTCACCCTGAGGCATAACCTTGACAAGTTCCATGTGCCTGTAACTTCGCCATCAGAACCGTCAAAACCGGAGCGCAATAATGGTCACGTTACAGCTTTGCCACAGAAATAGATACGGTGGCGGTACTTCCTGGTAGAACTTTTTTACAAAGAGCTCTACTGCTACCATACTTACTACTTCAAATATGTTTTTAATATACTTTTCTCTTTAAAAAAAAAGCTTTTCGCTAGTTACAAAGTCTTCCACAGCTGCAAAATTCAATTTTGACCCTGATAATGTTAATGAATTTTAAATCGCCTCTACTGAATATATAGCATGTCGAAACCGTTGCTATAATTTCAGGGTTCAAAAGTGACTTGTCGGCTTTTATAATGGAATGTAGAATGTGCGAAACGGTGTCACGCAACAGTTCAGCAAAACTCTACGAAAGGTTAAAGGGGCACTCACTGCCGTGTGTATCCACAATTGTATTGTTTTGATGTATCATATCTTCAACGCGTGTGACACCAGTGTACACCACGACCGCTATTTTGAACGAGAAATATAACACGATCATGTATTGCGTCATGACTTATGACTCACAATAAAGAGATTCTATACGCCTTAATGGTGCAAGTCTGAACCCTGCACTCGAGGTTTAGGGACGTGAGTCATTGAATTAATATACTGGTTTAATTAGTTGTGCGTATATTTGGAGTGTTAAAAAATACGAGTGAAATTTTATAGGATCTTTCTATCCATGATACCAAACAATTTTCTCTGTGGAATTCATATCTGGTTCAAGGAAACGTTTTTTAGCTTCACATACAAATTGACCCGCAAATATTAAAACGCGAGTTAGATCCGCGAGATAAGATGTTTAGTGCCAAGTGGAAAGACATCCTGTGACATTTCAAACATGCTTTTTTAATACACTTTGTAATTGTACTACATAGCTTTACATCTCTTTTATATCTAAAAGTACCAATAAATGTAAATCTTTCATCTAGTTGTTATTCATAGTGATCTATGTAAAGCTTTATCACATTCGTTTCTAAGGCAATGTAAATAAAGTTGAAGGGATAATTACGACTTACATAGTTATACGCGATATGATGTAGTGTATTTATTAAAATAAAGTGTAAACTTATTAATCAGATCCAGTTTCCTGGTAGGGATTACCTATCTACACATAAGTTGATTTTAATGTTGCGTATTGTGTACCAGCCAATATAGTTAAACAAAAAAAATACAGTACAAATGCGTAACCAATTCTGTTATATTTTGTTTTTATTGAACATCATGATGTTTTTACTAATTGCGTTTCTGGATACAAGTAATGCCATATATTTGTGGCGCGCCGTACTACACTGTTGTAGTCTTGTAGTAGTAGTGGCCTTACACTATGATATTCATCTATCTTTGTAAAAAGACTCCACTGGATAGTTATTATTATTTATACAAAGATCGAACAAATACAAATAAAATTTCCTTCAAACCAGCGATTGTTGCCTGTTGCAGCGGCTGTTGTTGACTGTAGCCACGTTATGGCAACGGTCGCTGGTTGGAGTTCAGTCGTGAATTTTTCACTGTGTTTGTTAATTTATCAATAATAGATTTTTCGTGTTATATTACATTTGAATACTTTTTTTATGCGAAATTGAAAGCAAAACGAGCAGACGAGCTGTTTTACATGATGGTCGTCCATAAACATTTGCAGCAACAAAAGAACTGCCTATACATTACCAGCCGTTGTTAGGGTTGTGCTTAAAGGTGACGGAAAGATGACGTCATGATGAAAAATCAGTACCTCCGGATAAAAGCAACAACACAATAAAAACTTTTAGGTGAATAAACAGGAAATTAATTAAACATTAATCTGTCAGTTTGCACTAAAAAACCATGGCCCGAATATAAAGGACATAGGTGACGTCAAATTCCGCCATTTATATTTTCTAGAGCAGTTTTTAGAAAGCAAAATCAGAAGAAACCATCGTCATTTTACTGTAAAATTTCACGCTGAAGCATTGTACAAAATCTACATATTTATGTCACCCCGACGCAAATTATTTTTATTCAAATAACATACAAAAATTGATGTACCTCCACTTAAATAACGTCACGATGGGGTGCTTAGTAACAAATGCGATACCACAAATCATTTTTGTTGACTTATTTTTCTTTACGAATTCGATGATGGCCTCCGTTTCTGTGGAGAAAAGGTAAAACATCTGCAGAAAACACAGCGCCATTGCTTGTTTATTGTAAATAATAAAATTCCAGCCCCACGAGCTGTGAAGTCAATTATTGAAAAAAAAAAGAGAAAAATGTGTGAAAAATGTCTACTGTTAGATAAACACTATAAAAACCAAATTTTTGTTACTCACTGCTTGTACATCTTATGTTTATGTATAAAAGATATACGTAACACGCAGAATTGAACACAAGCTAATACAAAAAAGGGTTAACATCAAAAACATGTTTAAATAGATACTTATTTACACAGCTGTATTTGCAATGTGTTGAATTAGAATTTGGAATACTTATTCCAGTGACTTCACCGAGTTTTTCATTAGATAAAAAATAATTAAATGATGACATTAGTTCGGGGTACAATTAATTTCATTTGGCAGGATGTACGCCTCAGCATTTTTAAACCATCTTTCTGATGATTGAAATCGACACATCCGTCGAACAAAGATTTATGTGCAAGACTACTTGTTCTCGGGACCATAGCACATCTCGTTCGTTCTTCTTCGTTGTGGATGTCAGATCAACCGTTGTTCGATTTCATATTTCCGAAACGAAATAAGATTATATAAATTCTCAAAACACCTTTACATAGGCCTTACTTGGAATAACGAAATTATTTTCGTAACGTACTTATTCTCTTTTCGCTATCGGACTTTATTCTTCGGATGAGCCGAAATGTATTTGAGAAAGGCCGCTGTTCCAGAAAGCCATCTATTTGATGATTAAAAACTATATACTTTACACATCCCATGATCTCGGCTGACTGAGATTTTTTTAATGATACCAATCGCCGAGACGAATAAGTCGCGCGCCTGGTGGTAAGCGACACGCCTGTCCATAACAGATGCAGTGCCACTCAGAGTTTTAAGTTGCAAAGATCTGAGAGGTACAGCCACTGCCGTCACCCTGAGACATAAGTTGACAAGTCCCATGTGCCTATAATTTTACCAGCACACTTACCCTTCAAAACCGAAACACAGAAATGCTCACATTACTGCTTAACAGCAGAAATAGTCACGATGGCAGTACTACCCTGAATTGATGAAGTCTTTGACATGGAGCTCAACCACTACTAATGAAGATGATAAAGTTATTAACCAGTTTTGTCTAATATTAATGCAACCACCCATTGACTTACAAATAAATGGACGACGGGTCTAATACAAAAACCACGAAAAAAATGTCCCAAGTCAACCTATTCGAAATTTAAATTGTTATGTCATCGCAGTATCGCGCTGTCCGTAGAACAAATGAAGACTAAAGCGGAGTGTCGCGCTCTGTATACGATTTTAGCGCCTTACAAGTGCGGACACTTTTTAGCGCGGACCCGACGTCCATATAATTGTAAGTCAATGCAACCACCCTATTTTTTATTATTAGGGATCATGGAACCTAGAAAGGGTTGTTTAAAAAAACGAA